CCATGGGCAGCCACTCACCTTCTCGCCCTTGTCCCCATCAAGGCCACAGGCGCCTTTCATGCCCCGGTCACCCTGTGAGGATGAGGAGGGGAGTCAGAAGCCTCACTAAGCCGGAACGAGTCCTGGCCAGGAGAGCACTGGCGGGCAGAGGAGCCAACCCACCTTGGGGCCGCGCATGCCCAGGGGTCCCATGTCTCCTTTCTCTCCCCGAGCTCCAGACATCCCGTCACGGCCGGGCTGGCCCTGCAAAAGAGCACACAGTGTGATCAAGGTCTGCTCCTGCTCCGTGGTGGGGTGGCAGTGGCACTGAAACACGGCTCCTCACCGGCTCTCCAGGCTCTCCTGATGCTCCGACCTCTCCCTGGGGAAGGCAAAGCCATTGGTCTGGGCAGGTGAGGGGGATGGTAACCCCAGCACCCCCCTGCAGCGTCAGGTGCCCAGCTCCTTACCTTCTGCCCACCAGGGCCGCGTGCCCCGGGGAAGCCCATGGAGCCCTTCTCACCTTGCTCACCCCTTGCTCCCTGCAAACAGAAACCCAGATGAACACGGGGCAGGAGGAAGAGCTCCGGCCACCTCACGGTCACATCTGGGCCACAGTGGCCTCTAAAGCCAGCTCTGGCAGCTTCCCTTACCAGGGTGCCCACAAGCACCAGCATACGGGCACAAGCACCATGCCCTGGTCCCTCTGACCATTGCCCCATGTGCAGACCTCTGTGATCCCCAACCCAGCACCCTCAACCCAGCCCCACACAACTCCCCCAGCCCTGTACCTTCTCTCCAGGCATGCCTTGCTCTCCCTTGTCCCCCTTGTCCCCTTCTGTGCCCTTCAGGCCACGTTCTCCCTGCGAAGGGGGAAACACAAGGAGGTGTCAGGGGACAGGGAGATGCTCAGACACGTGTCAGTGTGGGGAGGACAGATCCCTGGGGCAGGGACACAGGGGTCTGCGGGGTGGCTTAAAGACAGGGGACAACATGCTCTGTGAGGGAGGGTCCCTTGCAGCAAGAAGCACACCCTCCTCCCCAGCGATTCTGGCAGGCAGAGGGGTTGGGGAGTGCTGCCCTGTGCCACTCAGGAGAGGAGGTGCAGGATCAAACCCATAAGGCTGATCTTTAACTGTCCTGTGTTTTGGGGAGGGGGATGCACAGGAGAGCCCCTGCCCATCTGGACAAGAGGGAGGATGCAGAGGGGGACGGGAAGAATGGGGACATCTCTTACCGGCTCCCCCTTGCTGCCCCGTGCTCCAGTGGGCCCCTCCAGCACCACAGTATCACCCTGCGCGCCCAAAAGAGAGGGGGTGAGCAGGGAGCCAGCACTGCTGCCCTTCCTGCCACTGCCCCCCGCCCCAGGGACTCACCTTGTCTCCTTTGAGCCCCGGGGCCCCAGCATCTCCCTGAGAGAAAGGGGAGATAGTGAGATGGATGCACAGGAGGGAGCAGGCAGCACCTTCCTGGGGACCCTAATCTCCAGGGTAAATAAACTGTTTGCCCCCCAGCTCTGCAGTCCCCAGGTTCTCTTACCTTGTCCCCACGCTCACCCCGGTTCCCAGGCAAGCCCTGCAGGAGAGAGGAGGGGGTGGTCAGGGAGGGTCCCAGCCAGGGGTGCAGCCAGGGAGGGGGGTACTTACCGCCGGCCCGCGATCGCCTTCTGGCCCTGGATGCCCGTCTTCACCCTGTGAGAAGAAAAGGACATAAGTAAAGGGGTCTGGGAAGGCAGCACCCCAGCATCACCCCACCCTGGGGACAGATGCAGTGCTGGCTCCCTGTCCCCTGAGGACACGGGGGCTGTGGTGAGGATACAGAGGGCCGTGGTGGTACCTACCCGTGGCCCCATGTCTCCACGCTCACCTCTGGCTCCCGGCAGCCCAGCTCCTGGGGCACCCTGTCAAGGGAAGGCAAGAACTCATCTCTATCCTTGCTGTCCACTGCTCACCCCACGCCATGACATGTCCCCCACCACACCAGGGGAATCCCTGCAGATCCCCCACTGCCCTGGGTGCCTGGCACAGAGCAGTCTCCCATGTGCCACCACCCAGAGTGGTTCCAGCATCACCCAGGGGGTGGCCGCAGCAGGGAAACCCCACGAGAAGAGTGGCCCCACATCCCTCATGCTTTAGGGCTGCCCCCATCCTACCTTGTCACCTTTTGGGCCAGAGGCCCCTTGTATACCCTAAAAGAAAGGAGAGGGGTGAGCGAACCACAGCAGGAAGGCAGTACCAGGCACCCCACAAAGCATCCCCGGGGTTCTCCCAGCAGATCCTGCCCCATGCCTGAGCACCCAGCAACCTCCAGTTTCAGGGGCTGGGGCTGGGAAGGCGCAGGGTGGGTGCTCATCACCCTGCCTGATGGCAGGGGAGCCAGGGCAGTGCCTGCACCCCCAGGGACGCTGCAGCACCAGAGCCCTGTACTCACAGCTGGCCCTGGGGGCCCGACGGGTCCTGGGGATCCAGAAGTGCCATCTCTCCCAGGAAAGCCGATCAGACCCTGGCAGGGAAACACCCTGAGTGGGCAAGGGCCACGGCGAGGAGCTGGCAGGGCTTGCAGGGACCCTGCTGGCACTGCCTGAAGGTCTGGTGTCACCCAGACTAGCGAGCCTCAGCACTGGCCATAGCCTTTACCCTCTCTCCTGGGGGACCCGGTGGGCCAGGCTGCCCGTTTTCCCCTCTCAGGCCTGGCTGTCCTGGCATCCCAGCAATGCCTGCTAAGCCTGGGGGTCCTGGGGGTCCTGGCAAGCCAATGTCACCCTGCAGCAGGCAGGGAAAAGATGAGGCCCAGGGAAACAGCCCCCAGGAGTGTGCTTTGCCCATGGCTGAGCTAGGGCAGCACCTGGGTGTCGGGGACATGGTGAGAGCCAGGGTGACACAGGGGCAGGTGTTACCTTCAAGCCTGGAGGCCCGTCCTGTCCTGGAGGTCCCCGCACACCAACACCCGGTGATCCCTGTGTGGTGGCAGAGCACACAGTGTGTCTCCCGGCTGGTGGGCACCGTGCCACCCAAACAGGGCTGGGGAGCACCCCACTCCCCTGGGACCAGGCGACACTCACCTTCTCCCCTTTGGCTCCAGAGGACCCCTTGGCTCCCTGCAAAGACATGAAGCCCCTAGGAAAGGCTGGGCAATGTGTAGTGGGGACACAGATCCCACCTGCCTCAGCAATAGCTGTTGCCCCCATCACCCACCCTCCAGCCCCCCATGTGCCTCCTACTCACATCTTCTCCAGGATCCCCTGGCTCCCCAAATCCTCCTGGCTCTCCCTGCAAAAAGACAAGCAAAAAACAGGGTTGGGAGACAATGCGCGGGGGGAACGGCGGCAGCTGGAGCCACTCACCCCCCACCATGGGCAGGCAGCTGGGGAGCCCCCAGCCCCCCTAGCTGCCTCCCCACTTTCCTGCCATGAGAAGCACTCACCTTCTCACCCTTGGGGCCAGGCAAACCTCGGTCACCTGTGGAGCCCTACCAGGGGGAGAACGCCATTAGGGGAGGGGGCTGGCTTGGCCCCAAGAATGCATGGGGTGACAGTGGGAGGGTGAGGTTAATGAGAGGATGAGGCTAACGAGGCCAACTCACAGGCTGTCCCAGCACCACGCCCTCCAGCAGCGCAGGCTCACCCTGCAGTGACATATGGGTGCTCAGGTGTGCCCACAGTGGGTGCCTGTGGACCCCTGTTCACCCTGGGGCCTTTGGCAGCACCCAGGAGTGGGGGTCCCTCTGCCGGCACCCTGGTTCCTTACCTTCTCGCCTTTGGTGCCGGGAGGGCCAGCGATGGCCTGGAGACAGGGGAGAGAGGGGCCGGTGAGCAGGACTGCACGGGGATGCTCTCCCTCATCCCAACCCGGGAACACTGGGGAAGCTCCAGGCCGCAGAGGCAGCTCTGCACTCCCCTGTCCTGGGGCTCCGGCATCCCCTGGCTCTCCCTTGGGACCAGCAGGACCCGAAGGTCCTGGCATGCCCTGGTACAAGCAGCACAGACCTCAGCCTCAGCTGCAGACACCCCTGGGCTGAGCCCTGTGGGGCTCCCGCTGGGATGGGGTGAGAAGCAACGTACCATCTTGCCAGGCATCCCTGCCTCGCCGTCCTTCCCCGGCACACCATCCCTGCCTGGCACGCCCGGCTTCCCACTCTCCCCCTGCAGGCAGTAAGAGTGGGGCTGGGGTGTGGGGGTCCCACAGCCCCCCACAGGCAGCCCTGAGCACTCACAGTGATGGCAGCTGGGCACAGGGGGATGACACACTCACAACTTGTCCTGGCAGCCCCGGGACACCCGGGGGGGCCTGCGAGGCAAAAA